CCTTTTCTTAATTTTTTTTATTTTATCCTCACCTGAGGACACTTTCCATTCTTTGTTCAGATGGAGTGGGAGGGAGAGAGAGATTGAGAAACATCAATATGAAAGGGACACATCGAGTGGTTGCCACCTGCACGACCCAACCAGGGCCGGGGACAAACTGCAACCGAGGTACATGCCCTTAGCGGGAACTGAACCCAGGTCTCTCCGGACCACAGGCCAACGCTCTAACCACTGAGAAAACCAGCTAGGGTTATAGCCTTTGTTTTAAAGTCTATTTTGTCAGATATAAGTATAGCTGCACAAGCTTTATTCTGCTTTCGATTTGCATGAAATATTTTTTCTATCCCTTTTTTTAAAAATCCTCACCCAAGGATTTTTTTTTCATTAATTTTTGGACAGAGTGGGCGGGAAGAAGGGAGAGAGAGAAAGAGAGAAACATTGATGTGAGAGAGACACATTGATTGGTTGCCTCCTGCACAATCCTGACCGGGGCTGGGGATTAAACCTGCAACCGAGGTACATGCCCTTGACTGGGAATCAAACCCATGACTCCTCAATTCACAGTTCGATGCTCCAACTTCTGAGCCAAACTGGCCAGGGCCATCCCTTTACTTTCAATCTGTGTGTTTCTTGATCTGAAGTGGGTCTTCTGTAAACAGCATCTGAATGAGTCTTGTTTTCTTATCTATTCAGCTACCCTATGTCTTTTTTTTAATTTTAAAAAAAATTTAAAAAAATTAATTTAATTTATTTATGTTCTCTCATCGATGTTTCTATCTCTCGCTATCCTATGTCTTTTGATTGAAACATTTAATCCATTTTACATTTAAAGTTATTGACAGGCATGTAGTTATTGCTATTTTATTATTCATATTTATGGGTTTCTTTCTTTTTCTTCTTTTTTTTTTTTCTAATCCTCACCTGAGGATATTTTTCCATCTATCATCAGATAGGGAGGGAGAGAGAGAAACATGGATGTGAGAGGGACACATCAACTGGTTGCCTCCTGCATGACCCAACTAGAACCAGGGATGAACTGCAACCGAGATACGTGCCCTTGACTGGAATCAAACCCATGACTCTTTGGTCCATGAGCTCACACTCTAACTGCTGAGCCAAACCAGACAGGGCTCTTTCTTCTTCTTAAAGAAATCCCTTTAAAATTTCTTGTAACAGCCCTGGCTGGTTTGGCTCAGTGGTTGGAGGGTCGGCCCACAGACCTGAGAGACCCGGGTTCGGTTCCCTCTAAGGACATGAACCTCAGTTGCAGTTTGTCCCCAGCATCCAGTTGATATGTCTCTCCCACATCGATGTTTCTCTCTCTCTCCCTCATGCTCTTTCTGAGGATAAATGCAAGAAAATGTCCTCGGGTGAGGGTAAAAGAAATTTTTTTTCTTGTAATAGATTAGGTTTGCTGGTGATGAATACTTTAGCTTTTTCTTGTCTGGGAAGCTCTTTATCACCCCTTCAATGTTAAATAATAGCCCTGCTGGGTAGAGTAGTCTTATTTGTAGGTCCTCGCTTTCCATCACTTTTAATGTATTGTGTCAGTGTTTTCTAACCTGCAAAGTTTCTATTGACAAATCAGCTGACAGTCTGTGGGAACTCCCTTGTAGATAACTAACTGCCTTTCTCTTGCTGCTTTTAAGATTCTCTCTGTGTTCTTAGCTTTTGCCACTTTAAATTGAATTTGGCTTGTTGTGGCCCTTTTTGGGTTCATCTTGTTTGGGACTCACTGTGTTTCCTGGACTTGTGTGTCTGTTTCCTTCACCAGGTTAGGAAAGTTTTCAGTCATTATTTTTTCAAATAGGTTCTTCATCCCTTGCTCTCTCTCTCTCTCTTCTTCCTCTGCTATGCCTATGATGCAATCGTTGTCACACTTGATGTTGTCTCCTGGGTCCTTTAAACTATACTCATTAAAAAAACCTTTCTGTTTGCTGTTGTGATGGAGTGTTTCTGCTACCTTGTCTTCCAAATCATTGATTAAATCCTCTGCTTCATCTAATCTGCAGTTGCTTTCTTCTAGTGTATTCTTCACTTCAGTTATTGTATTCTTTATTTTGACTGGTTCTTTTTTATGTTTTGTATGCCATTTTTATGCTTACTATCACTTTGTTGAGGTTCTCACTAAGTTCCTTGAGCATCCTGATAACCATGTTGTTGTTTATCCTCACCCAAGGACATTTTTGCATTTATCTTCAGATAGAGCGGGAGGGAGAGAAGGAAGAAGAGAGAGAGAGAGAAACATTGACGTGAGAGAAACACATCAACTGATTGCCACCAACACAATCCCAACCAGGGCCGGGGACAAACTGCAACCAAGGTACTTGTCCTTAGAGAACCAAACCTGGGTCTCTCTGGTTCGTAGGCCGATGCTCTAACCGCTGAGCCAAACCGGCCAGGGCCTGATAACCATGTTTTGAACTCCGCATCTGGTAGATTGCTTGCCTCCATTTTATTTAGTTCTTTTTCTGAAGTTTTTTTGGTTCTTTCATTTGGAACATTTTCTCTCTCTCTTCATTTTGGCTGACTCTTTGTGTTTGTTTCTATGTATAGGTAGGTCTGTTATATCTCCCAATCTTGGCAGAGCGGCCTTATGTACTAGGTGACCTGCATGACCCACTGGCACAGTCATCCTGATCACCTGAACTGGGTGCTCAAGAAGTGCCCCTTGTCCGGCCAGTGTGGCTCAGTGGTTGAGAATTGACCCATGAACCAAGAGGTCGCCGGTTGGATTCCCAGTCAGGACACATGCCTGGGTTATGGGCCAGATCCCCGTCGGGGGGCATGCAGGAAGCGCCCAATCGATGTTCTCTCTCATCGATGTTTCTGTGTCTCCCTCCCTTTCCCTCTCTCTCTCTCCAAAATCAATAAAGAAAAAGAAGTGCCCCTTTTGTGGGTGGTATGTGCCCTCCTGTTGTTGGCATGTCAGTGGTGGAACTGACCCTTAGCTGACTGGCTGTGGGGACAGGCCATGACGACAGCGGATGAGCTGTTGTGTGGGGGCTGGCCCCACAGAGCCAGACTGACTTTAGTGGGCCTGTGCTGCCTGAATCTACTCTTTGGATGTGTTGTTCATGGCACTATGGTGCTTTGGTGCAGTCTGAAACTGGCCACCAGGTGTGTTGGGCTTCTTGGGAGTTGGATCAGGTTAAGGTCAGCTGCTGCCTGTGCCTGGCTTGGGGCCTCCTGGTAGGAGCTACAAAGTGGTCTGTGTTTGGTAGCCGCCGGTGCTGGACTTGGAGGTGCCTGGGAGTGCTTATACCATGAACTGAGGCCAGCTGCCACTGGTGCTGGGCTTGGGGCCACTTAGCAAGGCTTCCAGGGTATGCAGTGGCCAGACACTGCTTGTTTGGGGTTTGTGGATCTTTGAGAGATTTGGGGAAAGTCCACGGCATGGGCAGAGGCTAGCTGTTTGTGAGGAACAGCCGCCAAAAGAGGTTGGGGCCAGTGCACAAGTTGGGTGGGGCGTAATCTCTGGGAATCACCGCAGGTGGGGGTGGGGTGGCGGCAAGCAGTGGTAGCCTGGTTGATGGAGACTCAGATTTGGCGCCTGCCTGTGCCTGCCAACTATATGGGGAGAGGCCTCAACAAAGAAACAATGGCACCAGGCCCTGGCCTGTTTGGCTCAGCGGTTAGAGCATTGGCTTGCGGTCCAGAGAGACCCGGGTTCGGTGTCCGCTAAGGGCGCGTACCTCGGTTGCAGTTTGTCCCCAGCCCTGGTTGGTTGTGTGGGTGGCAGCCACTTGATGTCTCTTTCACATCGATGTTTCTCTCTCTCTCTCTCCCTCCCACTCTACCTGAACAAAAAATGGAAAAATGTCCTCCGGTGAAGATAAACAACAACAACAAAAAAAAAACAATGGCACAGACAGCACTTCGGTCCTTCAGTCCTGGAGATGGCTGCCCCTCCAGCTCTTGCCTTGAAGCCAGACAATTCAGTTCCTCCCCATATGTCTCCAGCACTTTTCAAGCTGCTGACCCTTCGCTGGCGCTTAGGGTAAGGGCTTGTGAGTGACTGAGTCTGTGCGTGGGCCTGTGCAGAGGATGCCCGGGGCCCTGGGCAGTGTGGCTCAGTTGGTTGGAGCATCGTCCTATGTGCCAAAGGGTCATAGGTTCGCTTCCTGATCAGGGCACATACCCAGGTTGCGGGTTTGATCACCAGTTGGGGCACAAATGGGAGGCAACCAATCGATATTTCTCTCTCTCCCCTGCCAAAATAAATACATAAATAAAAACATGTCCTCGGAAGGCATTGCGGCCTCCTCCTCCTACTGGTCTCCTCTCCTTCTCCTTCCCTCTGTCTCCCCCACCTGGCCAGGCCTGAGGACACGCCAGCAGCCGTATGGGGACATCCCCACGAGGACGAACTCAGTACCCCAACCACCACCAGAGAAGAAGCGAGGCCTCCCAGCAACAGCCCCGTGGGTGTGCCGTCCTGGACGCAGGTCCTCCTTTCCCAGTCGGGCTTCCTGACAGTGCGGCCTCCCGGGGTACCTGGCCTGCAACCCCACGACAACCCCGGCTCAGAACCACCCCGCGCTGCCCTCGGACTCAGGAACTGCAGGAGGCTGTCAGACTGCACATCGCCCTGTTCTGGTTCCTGCACGCTGCTGTCACCCCCTGAAAGCAGGTATAGCTGTTTTTTGTCTCTTTCCTTCCAAAACGCAAGTTCCAAGAGGCCAGCAGCCCCCCTGGTTTGATCAGCAGAAAAATGCCTAACACAGGTATCAGTGACGCCGGGGTGCCCACTCCTCCTCCTGGCTGAGTGGGGGAGGGTGCCCAGACCCGGTCCTGGGGGACGTGCGGGGCGCCCCGCAGGGCTCCCAGCTGCAGAGCTTCTCCAAGGCCACGCCCCGCCGGGTCCGCGGGCGTGTCCCTTTAAGGGCGGTGCGGCGCGCGGCGGGGCTGGAGCGTGCGCACTGGGCCGGCGCCCCCGGCCAACCCCCGTGCCGCCTGCGGGGTCCCCCGGCACCTGGTCTGGCGGCCCGGCGGCGGCCATGATCCGGCTGGGCGGCCGGTGTGCGCGGTGGCCCCGCGGCGCGGCGGGCCCGGCGGGCCGTGCCCTGCGGGTGCTGCTGGACCTGGACGGCGTCTTGGCCGACTTCGAGGGCGGCTTCCTCCGCAAGTTCCGCGCCCGCTTCCCAGACCTGCCCTTCATCGCGCTGGAGGACCGGCGCGGCTTCTGGCTGTCCGAGCAGTACGGCCGCCTGCAGCCCGGGCTGAGCGTGAGCATCCCCGCCGGCCGGCCTGCGCCAGGGCGGGGGAGGGCGCGGCGCCCTGTGCCCGTGACTGTTGGCCGCCATCCAGCGCTCCGCGTCCATCGGGCGGGGATGCCCAAGTACATCTTCGCAGGCTTTAAAATCTGTCGTGTATTTGGCTTCAATTTTTTTTTTTTTTTTTTGAAAGTCGTATCTTCAAACCCATGACTGTCTTGACCATTTTTGCCCCTTTCCACAAAAGCATAGCTCCCACTAGTATGTGAAGCCCAGAGAGGTCGTGTGACTGTCTGGACGTCACACAGTGAGTCGGTGGGCAGGTTGGTGTGGGATCAACTCCTGGGCTGGAGCTGCACTGGCCCTGCTGGACCCCCAGCTCACCACCCGTGTGCTGGGCTCTCCGAGTCCGCGGCGGGGATCCAGGGAGCGGACAGACAGCTTGGTTTGTCCACTTAAACTGTTCCATGAAAGGAGCAGGATCCGTGGCGGCACAGACTTGAAGAGGCTCTTGTACTCTGGCGTCCCTTAGGGCAGTGGTTCTCAGCCTTCCTGATGCCACGACTCTCAAATACAGCTCCTGGTGTCCTGGGGACCCCCGACCAGAAAATTATTTTCGTTGCTACTTTAAAACTGTAATTTTGCTACTGTTACGTCTTAGGCGACCCCTGTGAAAGGGTTGTTCAACCCCAAAGGGGTAGCGACCCACAGGTTGAGAACTGCTGCCTTAAAGTGCCTGCTGGTGGATTTGATGATGATGGGGGGGGGGGGGGGGATGATATTAGAGCCTGTTTGATCATCGCATGTTGGCTGCATCACCTCCTCTGTGAGGTCATTGCTATCTCCAGCATGCAAGGGAGGGGCCCAGACAGGACCCAGACCTTGGTGCAGGTGCCTCCTCAACACCTTCAGCTTCCCCCACCCCAAAGACCCGCTCTCTGACATTTCTTTTGACTTGGACAATAACTTTGGTGTGTTGAGGGCCAGATGTTCAAAAGGAAATGGTGCTGTGTCTCGTCATGAACACCAGGCCCTTCTGCTGCTGCCTGCAGTCCTGATGGCTCATTACAGACTTGGAACAGAAGTGCCCTAGTAATGTGTGCCACCTCCCCGTCATGCCCCTTGCTCCGTGTGCTCATTGATTGACAGTGCACAGCACCTTAGTCTCTTCCAGGAGTTCATTAGGGTGTGAAAATATCCCTACCTCCAACTCAGTGGCTTTCCTAGTCTTCTGTACAGATGTGTAGCTTCTGGGACTAAGGAGACGAACACCCGTTTCCCAAATACAAAACAATGAACAGAGCTCATGGGGTACTAAGAAGGGGGTGTTCTGGGAGTGATCTGGATTCTTCTGCCTCTGAGAGCATTGCAGAAAGTGGGATTTTGATAGATGAACACATGCCCTTTATCACTGGCACAGGTCACAGTAGGGTATCCTGGGGTGTCCCCTTGGCCCAACATCTGTGGTTAAAAGCAACCGACCAAGTCCAACCCAGCTTACATATTTTGGCATTTCTACTTCACAAAATACCACTCTCTCCATATTCCCTTTGACCTTCAACGTGCCCTGAGCAGTAGGCATGGCAGAGTGCTGGCAGGCAGAACTCATGTGCACGGACTTAGAATTGCACACTGTTAGGACAGTTGAGGAACTGAGCCCAGGGAGAGAAAGTGCCTGGACCGGGGTTTCAGAGCAAGTCTGTGAAGGAGGGAGGGAGGAAATGCTAGGACACTGATCATTGAGGTGAGGAGGTTAGCCCAGGATCACGCAGCGGTAGCCAGGACTTCTGACTCCCCACTGAACGTGGTTTCCAGCGTCTGCACCGCCTCCGTGTGAGTTACAAGCCTCAAGTTCCAGTTCTGACAGTATCACTCATAAGTGGCCTGGAAAAAAATGTGAGCCTCATTTTCCTCGTCTGCAAGTTGGGGATAGCAGTTCTTATCCCTTGTGGAATGTGGGGGGTCAAGGAGAAAACATGTTAGCATGTGCTTCACTCCGGGTATTAAAATAATATGCAGTGTGAGCTCAGTGTACTCCTGCCGTGTACCTGATGTGGCGGCAGCACAGCATCTGACCTGGCAGAGGCACTTCCTGCATAGCACACGGGGGATTTGGGTTTCTGCTCCCAGAAGCTGAGGTTTGACTGTCTGTTGTCACTTTCCTCTTGTCCTGGCCCTAGACACGTGTGGCATTCTGCAAACTTGCTTTCGGCTCAGCAGCGTGAGGTTGAAACTCCAAGCCTAGGGTTGAGAGGGGGATTCTCCCTGCTGGGCCTCCAGTTTGCAGAGACATCAGGTAAATCGCTTCTGCTTCTGAGCCTCAGTTTTCTCATATGTACATGAGGGTCTGGATTTTTGGCTCTCAAACTTTAAAGGCTGCAGGATTCTTTCTCTCTCTCTCTCTCTCTTTTTTAGTTCCTTCCTTCCTTCCTTCCTTCCTTCCTTCCTTCCTTCCTTCCTTCCTTCCTTCCTTCCTTCCTTTCACAGATGTTTCTCCTTTTCCCCCCATTGACACTCTCCTCCCAATCCTGCATTATCATCTATGTCCTTGGTTACACATACATGCATATAAGTTCTGTGGTTTATCTCTCTCCCCCGCCCCACACCCTCTTCTGAGGTTTGTCAGTCTGTTTCCTACTTCCATGTCTCTGGGTCTGTTTTGTTCCTCAGCTTTTTTTTTTGTTCATTATGTTCCACAAATACGTGAGATTGTGTGATATTTGTCTTTCTCTGATTAGCTTGTTTCGCTTAGCATAATGCTTTCCAGGGCCCTCCATGTAGTCTCAAAGGATAAGAGATCTCTCTTTCTTACAGCTGCATATTACTTCATTGTATATATGTACCACAACTTTTTTATTCATTCGTCTATTGATGGGCACTTGGGCTGTTTCCAGATCTTAGCAATTGTAAACAGTGCTGTTATGAACATAGGGGCATATATATTCTTTCTGATTGGCGTTTCAGGCTTTTTAGGGTATATTCCTGGAAGTGGGATCACAGGGTCAAATGGCAGTTCAATTTTTAATTTTTTGAGGTAACACCATACTGTTTTCCATAGTGGCTGCACCAGTCTGCATTACCACCAGCAGTGTGCTAGTTCACTTTTCTCCACACCCTCGCCAACACTTGTTGTTTGATGAGTTGTTGATGGCGGCCATTCTGGCATGTGTGAGGTGATACCTCATTGTTGTTTTAATTTGCATCTCTCTGATGATTAGTGATGTTGAGCATTTTTTCATATGTCTCTTGGTCATTTGTATGAACTGTTTGGAGAGGTGTCTGTTTAAGTCCTCTGCCCATTTGTAATCGGATTCTTTGTCTTCCTTTTGTTGAGCTGTATGAGCACTCTATGTATTTTGGAAATTAGCCCCTTATCTGATGTATCATTGGAAACTATACTTTCCCAAACAGTGGGTTCCCTTTCCATTTTGCAGAATTCTTTCTCTTTATTTTTTTTAATTTTTTTCAAATCTTTATTGTTGGGTGTAAAATGTATTACAGATGTTCCACTTTTTCCCCCATTGACCCCCTCCTCCCCACTCCCACCCACCTCCCACCTTTTCCCACACTATTGTCTGTGTCCATTGGTTATGCATATAAGTTCTTTGGTTTATTTCTTCCCACCCCCACAACCCCTTTCCCTTTGAGGTTTGTCAGTCTAGCAATGAATTTGTGCTTCTTAATCCCTTCACCTTTTTCACCCATTCCCCCAACCCCCCTCCCAACTGGCAACCAACAAAATGTTCTCTGTATCTATGAGAATGTTTCTGTTCTACCTGTTCATTTTGTTTGTAGGTTCCATTGTTGATAGATATGTATTCATTGCCATTTTGTTTGTTCATACATTTTATCTTTTTCTTCAAAAAGACCCTTCATCATTTCATATAATAACGGTTTGGTAGTGATGAACTCCTTTAACTTTTTCTTGTCTGGGAAAGTTTTTATATGTCCATCGATTTTAAATGACAGCTTTGCAGGATAGAGTAATCTTGGTTGTAGGTTCTTGCTTTCCATCACTCTGAATATTTCTTGCCACTCCCTTCTGGCCTGCAAAGTTTCTTTTGAGAAATCAGCTGACAGCCTAATGGGAACTCCCTTGTAGGTAACTAGCTGCCTTTCTCTTGCTGCTTTTAAGATTCTCTCTTTGTCTTGAACCTTTTGCATTTTGATGATGATGTGTCTTGGTGTGGGCCTCTTGGGGTTCATGTTGTTTGGGACTCTCTGTGCTTCCTGGACTTGTATGTCTGTTTCCTTCAACAAGTTAGGAAAGTTTTCTGCCATTATTGTTTCAAACAGGTTTTCCATTTCTTGTTCTCGCTCTTCTCCTTTTGGCACCCCCAAGATGTGAATGTTGGCACGCTTGAAGTTGTCCCAGAGGCTCCTTACAGTTTTTTGGATTCTTTCTTTTTTTTTTTTGCTGTTCTGATTGGGCATTTTTTGCTTCCTTATATTCCAAATCGATGGTTTGTTCCTTGGATTTACGTACTCTATTATTGAAGCTGTGTAAATTATTCTTTATTTCAGTTAATGCCTCCTTCAATTCTAACTGTGTATCCATGATTTCTAACTGGTCCTTTTTTATGCTCTTGAGGCCCTCCCTAAGTTCACTGAGGTTCTCACTAAGTTCATTGAGCATCCTTATAAGCAGTATTTTGAACTCAGCATCTATTAGGTTACTTATCTCCATTTCGCTTAGTTATTTTCTTGGGGTTTTGTTCTGTTCTTTCATTTGGGACCTGTTTCTTTGTCTCCTCATTTTGGCTGCCTCCCTGTGTTTGTTTCTGTGTATTACTTAATGAGAAGTATGGGGCTCACTGAGACCCGGTGCTGCTCGTTTGAAAATTTAGGAAAAACCTGAAGCAGGATCCAAGACTGGCCGATCCTATGGTTAAGCAACTGGCAACAGCTTGGGTGGGCTTGAAAGTTGGGTGGGGCGGGGTGGGGCGGGGTGGGGCGGGGCCTCAGGGAGTCAGCAGGGCGGGGCTACCAGTGTGAGCCAGGTTGCTGGAGTCCCAGATATGGCGGCTGTCTGCCGCTCCAGGGAAGGGCTCACCAAAGGAACAAAGGCCTCTGACAGCACGTTTGTCCCCGAGAAAGCCCCCTCTCCAGCCCTCGCTCCAGTGCCACACAGCTCAGTTCTTCCCTGTATGTCTCTGGCACCCCTCGAGCTGCCTCCCCTCCGAACTTAGAGGGAGAGAGTCCGATAAGTCCGTGCGCGGGCCCTTTAGGGAGCTGCCTGGGGCTCCAGCCGCTTCAGCCTCCCTGAGCCTCAGTTTCTGCTGGTTTTTCCAGCCAGAAGTTATGGGGATTCTCTTCCTGGCACTGGAACCCTGAGCGAGGCACCTGGTGTGGGACGGGGACCCCCTCAGTTCTCAGGAAGGACCTTCCCAGCTGCGGGAGCCTCCTGATTTTTATCCACCACACGTGGGTGTGGGAGCAGCCCGTCCGCCCCTCCTACCAGTTTGGATGTGGCTGCTTCTTCAATTCCATAGTTGAAGGACTTCCATCCAGCTTGATTTCAGGCGGTTTTGAATGGTGGTTGTTCTGTAGTTTAGTTGTAACTTTGATGTGGTTGTGGGAGGACGTGATACCACGTTTACCTACCCGCCATCTTGACCGGAAGTCCTCCCAGAATTTTTTCTCTTAAACAACGTGTTTATTGGCATCTGAACACATAACACAGAGAAAGAGCTGTCTGGTTGGTGTGGGTGAGGAGCCTGGAACTGCCCCGTCGCTGCTCCTCCCCTCCCCCGGCAGAGCACTGCGCTTAAGGATCTCTGAGTTCGCCCCACTCTTTTTTTTTTTTTTTTTTTCAGGTAGAGTGGGAGGGAGGGAGGGAGAGAGAGAGAGAAACATCGATGTGAAAGGGGCACATCGAGTGGCCGCCACCCGCACGACCAACCAGGGCCGGGGACAAACTGCAACCAAGGTACATACCCCTAGCGGGAACCGAACCCGGGTCTCTCGGGACCGCAGGTTCGACGCTCTAACCGCTGAGCAAAACCGGCCAGGGCTCCCACTCTTGAATTTAAGGACGTTGGCATCCACTCAACGGCAGCAGGATCCTCCGTTTGGGTCTTGGTGTAGAAGGACTTTTATTCAGGACAAACAGCTCGGCTGTGAAGCAGCAGGGCTCTGGGACCCAGGCCACCCTCTTCAGCTGGTGAGACGTCTGCAGTGTTTCTGGTGTGTCCTGTTTAGTGTTATGGCTCCGCCGGGAAACACAGTCTTCAGTCTTTGGTGGGAAGGTAAAGCACGCTCTGAGCCAGAGGGGAGTTGGCTTCTGTGGCCAGAAGTCCCCCACCCGTCCCTGGCTGGTCTGCCCTCATGCAAATGACTCCGAATCTTCCCAGTTCTATTGGCCCAAAATATCACTGCCTTGGTTGGTCCGGTGGAGCTGCTCCGACTGATTGGTGAACATACTGATGGGAGTAGTGGCTCCAGCTGCTGGTTGAAACTGTCCCAGGAACTCATTTGTAAGGGTTGGCTCAGGGGGCACAGGCGCTGTGCAGCTGGGGAGTTCAGGGTGCGAGGAAGGCAGCATGGTGAGGCTTCTCCCTGAATGTGGTTTGCATGGGAGGCCCCTGTAGATATGGCTTCCGGACTCTGTTTTTTTTGTTTTGTTTTTTTATCCTCACCCGAGGATATTTTTGCATTTTTTTTTTTGTTCAGACAGAGCGGGAGGGAGAGAGAGGAAGAGAGAGAGAGAGAAACATCGATGCAAAGGGACACATCGAGTGGTTGCCACCCGCACGACCAACCAGGGCCGGGGACAAACTGCAACCGAGGTACGTGCCCTTAGCGGGAACCGAACCCGGGTCTCTCTGTACCGCAGGCGGACGCTCTAACCGCTGAGCCAAACTGGCCAGGGCCCGGACTCTGTGTTTTTAATTGGAGCCCAGAGAATCCCCTGAGAGCCCTTATTAGCAGATATCTTCTTTCTTAGGGTTCACAGGTGCCATGGCAAGACCGGCTCCATCCCAGAGTCCCCAGTGTGCCTCTGGCCATTAGAATCAGGCAAACCTGTGGTTCATGATGCTTGATCCCAGACAGTTCCAGCTGGGCCTCCCACAGAGCGAGCTTTGGAATCCTGTCCCTGACACCTTAGCTGGTCTCTGCTTGGTCCCTGCAGAAGTCGGTCCCTCCTTGGGAGGGCTGGACTCAGACAAACTCCATGTGCTCCTCCTCCTGCCCCGAAATGTGTCCTTGGGTGTGTGTGGGAGGGGCGAGGGGATGTGGACGCCCCACCTTCTCCTTGTCAGCAGCCCCTTCCGGCTGTGACCCCTCCCCCCCCATGAGGCAGGGCGCGAGGACTGAGGACTCCGGGAGTCACTGTCTTCTCTCCTCAGGAGAAGGCCATCAGCATCTGGGAGTCGGAGAATTTCTTTTTTGACCTTGAGCCTCTGCCTGGGGCTGTGGAAGCGGTGAAGCGGATGGCCAGCCTGGAAGAGTAAGTGCGTCTGCACCTCCCCGCTGTCCTCTCTTGTCCTGCCCACAACCCTCCTCCCTTTCTCCTCACCCCTGTCCAGGGCCCTGTGCCTTCTGTCCTCACTGGACCTGAGGACGGACCTAAGTGATTTAAACAGACTCCGCTAGTAGGCTGTTAAGATGTTTTGATTCGGCCCTGGCCAGTTTGGCTCAGCGGTTAGAGCCGCGTCCTTCTGACGGAAGGGTCTCGGGTTTGATTCAGGTCAAGGGCACATACCTGGGTTGCAGGTTTGACCCTTGGCCCTGGTCAGGGTTGTGTGGGAGGTAGCCAAGCATTGTGTCTCTCTCACATCGATGTTTCTCCCTCCCTCCCTCCCTCCCACTGTCTAAAATTCAGTGGAAAGTCCTGGCTGGTTTGGCTCAGCCATTAGAGCATCAGCTTGCGGACCAGAGAGTCCCAGGTTTGATTCTGGCCAAGGGCACGTACCTCAATTGCAGTTCGTCCCTGGCCCTGTTTGGGGTCATGTGGGTGGCAGCCACTCAAGGTGTTTCCCTCACATCGATGTTTCTCTCTCTCTCTCCTCATCACGCTAAGGATAAATGTAAAAATATCCTCAGGTGAGGACTGAAAAAATAATAATAATAAAAAATAAATAAAATTCAATAGAAAAATATCCTCAGCTGAAGATTAACAATAACAACAACAAAGATGTTTTGATTCAGTAACTTGAGAAAATACCGTCTGACTGGACATGGCTCACTGGGTGTCGAGAGTTCTTTTACTCAGCAATTGTCTGAGCGCTGACTGTTGGATCCCAGTGACACAGACACGGACGAAACATGGGATGGCCCTCCTGGAGCTTCCGGTCAGCCGGAGGGCAGACACGACACGGAGGCTCTTGTAAGGGGAGATGATCCCAGACCGTGGTCAGTTCTGGGGAAAGAGTAAGACGGGTGACGAGGTACAACAGGGGACCCAGCGAGGGAGGGTGGAGATGCAGGAGGAGTGCTGTGTGAGTCTGTTTTCTAGAGAAATGACTGGCTCTGGGGCTGAAGCCCCCACTCCACCGTCACGCACCACCCACTGCAGTCCATTGGAAGCTGCAGATGAGGTGTTTCTCCCAGAGCTTTTCATTATTTATTTATTATCTATTTATTTATTATTATTTTTCTTTATTGATATATTAAAGAGACAGATGAAGGGAGAGAAAGAGAGAGATAGAAACATTGATGAGAGAGAACATCGATTGGCCCCCTCCTGCACCCCCCCACCCTGGGGATCGGGCCCACAACCTGCAGATGTGCCCTGACTGGGAATTGAACCAGCGACCTCTAGGTGCAGGGTCGACGCTCAACCACTGAGCCACACCAGCCATGCTGAGAAAGGCTGTTTCAAAAAGCTCTCAGGGAGCCTGGCACCTAGAGGTCCCTGGTTCAATTCCCTGTCAGGACACATGCCTAGGTTGTGGGCCCGATCCCCAGTGGGGGCATGCAGGAGGCAGCCAATTTATGTTCTCTCATTGATATTTCTCTCTGTCTCTCCCTCTCCCTTCTTCTCTCTCTAAAATCAATAAAGAAAAATTATTAAAACAAAAACGACAACAGCCTTTCTGAGATGCGATTCACTTACCACACACCCACAGTGTGCAGTTTGATGGTTTGGTGATTCAGAGTGGTACAGTGGTCACGGTAATCCATCTTAGAACATTGTCATCACTCCAGAAAGAAACCGGAATCATCATCAGTCGCTGCGGTCCTGCCTGCTCGCCCCAGCCCTAGGCAGCCAGGCTCTGCTGTGTCCCTAACGGTTTGCCTGTTCTGGACACTTCATGCACATTTAAGACAATAGGTGGTCTTTTGTGACTGGCCTTTTTCAGTGAGCACAGTGTTTCCAGGCTTCACCCATGTCCTAGCACAAGTCAGGACTTCGGCTTTGTTTTTTAAATCCTCACCCAAGGATATTTCTCCATTTATCTTCAGATAGAGAGTGAAGGTGATAGAGAGACATCGATGTGAGAGAGACATGATGACTGGTTGCTACCCGCACGACCCCGACCAGGGCCAGGGCCCGAACCGCAACTGAGGTCCGTGCCGTTGACTGGAATCAAACTTGGGACTCTGGTTCTCAGGCTGATGCTCCAATTGCTGAGCCGAACTGGCCAGGGTGTGTACTTCATCTCTGTGTGTGTGTGTGTGTGTGTTTTAACAGAATCACTGTTTATTGGTGCATCTATATTGAGAACTGTGACATTTTCAACAGAATCCTCCCCTCTGCTGATATATCATTTTCTGATTGGCATACCCTATGTAACTTTTTAAAATTAAGGTATAATTGACATATAATATTGTATTTGTTTCCGATGTATAACAGAATCGTTTGCATTTGTGTATATCACTCCTTTTCATTGCTGATAACATTGCATGGTATGGACATGCCACATTTGTTCATCCATCAGTTGGTAGACATTGGGGTTGTTTCTGCTTTTCAGATATTAAGAATAATGCTGCTTTGAACATTCGTATGTAAGTTCTTTGTAGTTGTATATGTTCACTTCTCTTAAGTGTGTAGCCGTGGTGGGGTTTGGGTCATAGGGGAAATCCTTGTGTAACACTTTGAGAACTGCCATCCTGTGTTCCATAGTGACTGCACCATCTTCATTACCACTGACACTGTACGAGGGCTTCAGTTTTCCACATCTTCGTCAACACTTGTTATTGTCTTTTATATTTTAGCCATCCCAGTGGGTGTGAAGTGGTATCTCATTGTAGGATGTTTTATTCATGATCACAAAGAGGCCACTTTTTTTTTTTTTTTTTAAGCAATTAAATATTTGCTTTATTGACTTAACAGGCTTAGACCTGTGTTGAACAAGCCAGGCTAAAATAGCACCAATGGTTAGACTCTAGCCTACTTTTCAAAGCCATCGTTTTACAACTTAACCAAACAAGGGATCAGAAGTCTCTCATCTACCTGATGTGATCTTTGTACACACACACTGCTAATGAAGTGCCATTTGGAATAGCTGAACATCTTTTTAAAAGCTTTGCAAATGAGCTCATGAGCATGAATTCCACCAGTTAGATCAAACAGAAGGAACTCAAAACAAGTTGTTGCTGAATCAGAGCTCATTATTCACAAATCATCAGCCTGCCCCCACCCCAAGAACTTCTTAAAAGGACACCTTGATTCAATCACTGAAAATCTACAAGTGCCCAAGTGAAAGGCTTAATTTCTATTACTCAATTTCTCAACCCAGGTTTGAAAAAACAAGGGAAAAAAGCCCCATAAAGAATACTTACCAAATTAGATAGGAAAATTAAAGCCTGCAGTTATGAATCAGAATCGTCCCACCACAAGGTTGCACACAGTTACATCAGTAGATTCTGTATACAGTCTGGAATTGACCAGAACAACATTTAAAATAGAAAAACTGTAAGAAATAGGTTCTAACTTCAGAAGCTGTAAATTTCAAAGGGATATGAAAAAACTAATGGAATTCAAGACTCTCCTCCCTTTACATTTTAAAGAAGTAGACTTTCTGTAAAAGTATAGATAATTTTTACAGATAAATACATTCACAAGTTGTTTTCATCTTAAAACTTGAGGACATTCTATATTTGTAATTGCAGTTATTGAGCCTTAAGTCAAATATTCTTGGCCTTGACAAGGCTAATAAACAATCATTCAAACCAAGCCAAAGTAGAACAGGTACAAAGTCCTGAGCACTTGGACTTGGTGTTCTTCAAAAAGCATACCTGGGGAAGCTAATTACAGAGGAAACCGCTTCCCTTCACTCTTGTACAGTACTGAGGCTTCTGGTCATAGTTCTATTGTAGCTCAAATCCACTTTACTCAAGTTCACTGGCATTGCTAGTGCTTCTCTTTTAGCACTATCGGAGGTTAACGAGCTCAGTGGGCATAATGAACTCTATATGACTAGCCTGGCACTGGCCACTCTGTTCTGGAAGAGATGAAGCCTCTCCCCCTGCCGGCCTCACTACATCTGAAGTCCTCCTCCAGCCTCCCAAAGCGTGCCTGTTGCTGAAACTGGACTTTGCTTCTTTCAGACAGTGACTCTTCAAGGGGGACTACTTTCCCATGTGATTCATTCCTGTTAACCATAATCCTCTTGCACTTGCTGTCTACGTTGCTTGGGGGTTACAGCCTGCACAGCTTGAAGTCCAGCTTCACAAATACACCGATTTCCCAGCAGATGGGTGAGGCTTTGGTGCCTGGCGCTGGTTAGGAGCCGGTTATTTCACTTACAAGGCTGTCTTGTCAGGTACGAACCAGCTCCTTCCCCGGCAACACCTGCGAAAGCCAGAGCTCATTCTGCAGCCGCCTGCTCGGTCCCTCCCGGCAGAAGCCACACCCCCAGCCCCGCCTCTCTGGTCTGTTCGCTGGGCTGTCGGGTTCTGTCCTTCCCCGAACATCTGTGGTGCTCTCGGCTCACGGTTGGTTCAGTGCAGCCTTCTTGGTGGGACTCTTCAAGTGTTTGGCCACCAAGGCACCAACAGAAGTAAGAGTCACAATCCTGCCCCGTTTGTTACTCCATCACTAAAAACATGAGTCATCACTGGGGACAAAGATTTGACGTCGTCTTTGTTCTCGATGTCCAGTGACCGAAGCACGCCTTGGAAGGCCGTCTGGTGGTTCCCCTGCACACTGTCCCTGACTGCCGAGGTGTGTGACGCCGGCCGGCTGACGGCCCCAGACCTGCCCATTGGCATTGCGTCCTTGGCGTCACTCGCCTGCTCTCCAAGGTTCCCAGAGACGATCCCCAGCCACCACAGAACAACTCAACCTCCTCCTCCTCCTCCACCCCCCGGGGCCGGGGGTGTCGAGGGCCATGAGCCACCGTACTGGGGACATGACTGGCTGCCTGACCAGCTCCAGCAAGGGTAAGACAGCGGCCGCTTCTCGAGAGGCTCCGGCTCGTATTGTCCGGCTCCTCTTCAGGTGACATGATGGCGTCGGTGGCCGGGGCCGAGGCCACATTTTTTATTGACATCTCAGTCACT